GCCAGGGCAGAAGGTGGGCCAGGCAGGATTAGGTTGTAGGACCCACAGGTGAGAGCCAGAATGGGTGCAGGCTAGTCTGGCTGGACTGCAGTACCCTGGTGAGTGCCAGGACTAGAGGGCAGGTCATGTCAAGCTGGGGAAAGCACCGACTGACATGTGAGATCCAGGACTACAGTGGACCTGGTAGAGAACTTGAGGTACTCCTCAGCTAAGCTGCAGCTTTACTGGTATGCATGAGAGCTGGGGCTGGGGGCAGGCCAGGTCAGGCCAGGCTGGGACAGTGTGCAGCACATGATGGAACAAATGACAGCCAGGGCAGGATACAGGCCAAGCTAGATTGGGCTACAAATACTCACCAGTTCACATGAGGGTCTGGGTTGAGGTGGGCCAGGCTAGGCTAGGCTGCTGCACACACTGGTGTGTGCAAGAACAAAAATAGGGCCTGGCGTGATAGCCTAATGACTAAAGTCCTCACCTTGCATGCGCAGGCATCCCATATGGGTGCCGGTTCTAATCCTGGCGGCCCCGCTTCCCATCCAGCTCCCTGCTTGTGGCCTGGGAAAGCAGTCGAGGACACCCCAAAGCTTTGGGAGCCTGCACCTGTGTAGGAGACCCAGAACAGGCTCCAGACTTCTGGCTTTAGATAAACTCAGCTCTAGCCACTGCAGCTTATTGGGGAGTGAATCAGCGGACCGAAGATCTTCTCTGTCTCTCCTCCTCTCTGTATATCTGACCATCCAATCAAAATAATTCTTAAAAAAAAAAAGATGGGAACTGGCTAGCCTAAGCCACAATACCTACCGGCCAATATCCCTGACAGAGATGTAAAAATCTCCAGCAAAATATCTGTGAATCAAATCCACAATACATCAAAAAGCACATTCAAACAGAATAAACAGAACAAACAGGATTTCTCTGTGGCTTTATAAGTTCAACACATACAACTCAATAAATGTGACACATGACATTAACAAATTCAAGAACATAACACATGTTATTTTGTCAATAGATGCAGAGAAAATTTGATGTTACAATATTCCTTCATGACAAAAACCTAAAACAAACTGGAAATAAACAGAACAGACCTCACCACAATCAACACAATTTGTGACAAATCCACAGCCTGTATCATATACTGGATAGAGAAAAGCTGGAAATATTTCCACTAACACAAGAGTGAAATGAGACAGGCACGTCTACTTTCACCACAACATTACATTCAATATGGTTCTGGAAGTTTTAGCCAAAGTCATTAGACAAGAAAAGGTTATCAAAGGGAAATAAATTGGAAAGAAGAAAACCAAACAATCTATAGGAAGGGGAATAAAAGACTCCACTAATGAACTATCACAAGTCATAAGATAGTTTGGCAAAGCTGCAGGACAAAAAAAATCAACACACACAAAACCAACAACTTCTGTATACACAAACAGTGCCATGGTTAAGAAAGAACTTATAAGATCAGCACAATTCTACAAAAAAATGTAAGAACCTAGAGACAAATTTTACCAAGGTTATGAAAACTAGAAAACATTAAGAAATTGGGCCCAGCACAATAGCGTAGTGGTTGAGGTCCTCGCCTTGAATGCCCAGGATCCCATATGGATGCTGGTTCTAATCCCGGCAGCTCTACTTCCCATCCAGCTCCCTGTTTGTGGCCTGGGAAGGTGGTCGAGGACGGCCTTGGGCCTTGGGACCCTGCACCCGCATGGGAGATCCAAAAAGAAGTTCCTGGCTCCTGGCTTCGGATCGGGGCAGCACCAGCCATTGTGGCCACTTGGGGGGTGAATCTTTGGATAGAAGATCTTCCTCTCTGTCTCTCCTCCTCTCTGTACATCTGCCTTTCCAATAAAATAAATAAATCTTTAAAAAAAAATGAAAAAGAAACAGAACAGACATACACACCAGCAAAATTAAAAAATAAAAAATTCTTCCAGGTTCATAGCTTGGAAGAATTAATATAATTAAAATGTCCCTATTACCCAAAACAATTTACAGATTCAACTCAGTCCCAATCAAAAGTCCAAAGACATTCTCACACCTACAAAAAGAAAAATTCATATGAAATCAGAGACCACGAACAGTTAAAGCAATCTTATAAATTTCATATTTTATCTGAAAGTCACAGTTCCAGAGAAGAAAGATGACACCGAGAGGTCTCCCGCATGCTGGTTCACTCCCTACATGGCCGCGATGGCCAAATGGCTAGATCTGACCAGATCTGAAGTCAGGAACCAGGAGCTTCCTCTGGGTCTCCCACATGAGTGTAGCTCCCAAGCACTTGTGCCATCATCTGCTTTTTTGGCCATCAGCAGGAAACTCGGTTGGAACAGGAGCGGCTGGGGACTGAATCACCCATATGGGATTCCAGCACTACAGTCAGAGGCTTTGGCCTACTATTTTAAATTCATTTCAATTTTTGCTGAAAAGTTAGACGTATAGAGAAGAGGAGAGACAGAGAGGAAGATCTTCCATCCAATGGTTCACTCCCTAAGTGACCACAAAGGCCCAAGCTGAGCCGATCTGAAGCCAGAAGCTAGGAGCCTCTTCCGGGTCTCCATGCAGGTGCAGGGTTCCCAAGGCTTTGGGCTGTCCTTGACTGCTTTCCCAGGTCACAAGCAGTGAGCTGGATGGGAAGCAGGGCTGCTGGGACACAAACCAGCACCCATACAGGATGCCAGCGCATCAAAGCGAGGACTTTGGCCGTTAGGCTTCCATGCTGGGCCCTTTTTTATAAAAAAATACATCTGAAAGTCAAAGTTAAAGACAGAGAGTGAGAGGACAGCCAGCCAGAGAAAGGTGTTTCATGGGTGGGTTTATCCTTCAATGTGTCATAATAGCTGAGCAAACACTGAGCTAGATCACAGCAAGAACCCAGGAACTTTATCTGCTCTCCCCAATGGGAGGCAGTTCAAGTATCTGGGCCATCTGCAGCTGTTTTTTCTAGGCCATCAGCAAGGAGACAGAGAAAAATAGAGCAACTGGGACACCAACCAGTACCCTGTAAGATGCTGACATCACAAGAAGCTTTACCTGCTATGCAACAATACCAGAGACAGCTAGAGTGATCTTAAACAATAGAAACTAAACCTGAAGGCATCACATACCAGATTTCAAGAGAAATTACAGGGCAGTTCAGTTTAAACAGCCTGATACTAGCGTTAAGAACAGGCATGAGGGCCAACAGCATACATGAGAGATCCCAGAAATTAACCCACATATACAACCAATCTTTGGCCAAAGGAGCTAAAATTCACGCTGTGGACAAAGGCAGTCTCATCAACAAATGACCAAGTGGCATTGTCCAATTGGGAAAACAGGAGACCTGTACGCAGAAATATGAGACAAGATCCCTACCTTACCCCTCACGACTGACCTAAACCCCAAGTCTGAAATCATTAGCGGAAAACATTAGAGTAAAAAACTCTGGAATTCAATAATTCTCAAGAAAAAAACCAAGATGTAAACGAACTTGAGTATATTGATGAATTATAAGACAGTAATACTTATTTGAATGCACAAAATTAAACAGTCAATTCAATGCACCTAAATATTTTTTAGACAATTCCTAATAGCTCCAAATGATAATAAGCATATGGCGAAAAAGATGCACATACCTAATCAACAGCTTGTTTTTATTAGAGCCCAGAACTACCTTAACAAAAAATGTAAAATACTAATTAAGGTCTAATTCTATCTTTTATAAAATATTCATTTAATAAATATTTTTATCTCTATGGCTTAGGAAAAAGTCAACTGGTACCTTAAGTTAGGATTAAAAATGAAAATTAAATGTTACACACTTGGTAGAATAATTAAAATTAAATTATAATATATAGAAACATACTGTATAAGTCTAAGATATTAACAAAAGGATGATAAAAAATTGAATACATGGCACATAGCATGGTGGAACAGAAGGGTAAAGCCACTGCCTGCAATACAAGCATCCCATACAGGTGCCAGTTTGTGTCCTGGCTGTTCCTCTTCTGATCTAGCTCCCGCTAATGTCCAGGGAAAACAGTGGAAGATGGCCCAAGTGTTGGGAACCTTCCTCCACATGGGAGAACCAAAATAAGTTCTTGGCTTTTGGCTTTGGCCTGGCCTAGTCCTGGTTATTACAGCTAACTCTGGAGTGAACCAATGGTTGGAAGACCTCTCTGTGTAACTTTCAAATAAATCTATCTATAGTGAAATAAAAACAAAAGGCATTAAGACATTATAAAGATTTGTAGCAAATAATTTAAGGGTTGTAGGAACTGCTATGATTTGAGATACTGTTGCAAAAGATACATTTATTATCTGCTGTGACTGTCCTATAAGTTCTTTAATTCTGGCAATGGAATCCAAGAATGTTACCACAGCTAATAACAGAAGTGTGAAGTCTGGATTTCCAGTTAGACTAGAAAACTGCAGGAGATACAACTAGAAAAGTGAATAAAAATAGATATTGAGAAATTAGCAAAATTTAAGCAGAAGCTCTATCTAGGTCTTTATAAATTATACTAACTACAGAAGCACACAGTGCACAGGATATTTTCTGTAAGTAGGTATGTATGCACTAGATACTCAGGAATCACACACATATATGTAGTTACTTCTTTGAAAGGCAGAGTGACAGAGACGGAGAGACTGAGAAACAGAAATGATCTTCCATGTAGTAGTTTAGTCCCCAACCAAATAGCAGCAGCTAGACTAGGGTAAAGCCAGGTCTCGGACATGAGCAGCAAGGGCGAAAGCTCAGGCGTCCTGGCCATCGTCTGCTGGCTTCACATGTGCATTAGCAGGGGACTGGACTGGAAGCAGAGCAGCCGGGGCTCAAGCTGGCACTGTGACAAGGGATGCCTGGCTTCACAATGGTAAGTCTGCACTGCAATGCCATTCTCTTGAGAGCCTATTTAATTAATGCAATACCGAACAACTAGTCAAAGGAGAAATTTTAAAACATGTAATAAAATAAATGCTACATATAGTTTAGAAATGTTAATTAACTTGGCTACCTTTGGTGCTGGAACTGGGTGGATGGTATTCTTGGCAGATATCGGGTGAGGGAAGGTATTTTGAAATGCAAATGCAGACGAGGCAGGATAACCAATTGCACAGCTTGGGTATGTAAGTCTACCATCCACCTAAATATAAAAAAACATAGAAGTAATTAGACATGAGAAGCTAATTCTAAATAGTATTTGCTGAAGCAATATTCTCCCTTATAATAACTAATAGCTAAGAACACTATTTTAAGGGACTAGGAAGTTTTGCTTTAATGCCTAGTACAAGGCTGGACATTTTTGGTACAGAGGGCTTTTCAAAGTAGCTGTGCCAGCCTGGCTGTAACAAACTGCTGGCCATTCGTTTTGAGTGAGTTCAAACAGACTTCTACAAGGTTTTGGTTCTTTCAGGCCTCCCAAGCAGGTGGATTTGGGAAAAGGTGGTCACAAATCAGAAGGAAAATAAGAGATAAGGCAAAAACAATTTTCTGCAAGATGAAGCAAAAACAAAACTAGTGTTCTCAAATAGACTAATTAAAATAATTTGTGCTGCCACTAACTTTTAATATATTGATCCCACCATTAAACATTGTGGTAAAAATAAGGTGCTGCTTTTATAATTAAGAGGTGAGCTGGGACACACATCTTGAGATACCAATGGCTATTTATCACTAATTAGCACAAGGAAAACACCTGCTGATGTATTTACTGTTTCTTGGAACCAAGGAGATTACACGCCATGGGTCTCACCAAGTACAGTTAGAAGAGACTTATTAATTAGATTTAGGCACATTTTAGGTGAATTAAAAGAATTTCAAGACTTTAGTTTTGCTGTGGAATGCCAGTTACCAGGAAGTAACAGTAAATGTATGACTAGGTATCTAAATACACCCAACCTAACAAAACAGGAAGAACGCATCAAAGTCAAATCTGTAGCTATGTCAGAAGCAGTAACAATTCAACTACACAGAAAAGAAAGGATGCTTGGCTCTTTTTGCGGTCTGGTAATGTTCATATTTTTATCTGTGTTCGGACATGCTGTTCAAGGTCCTTATGTACGTGACTCACCACAGACTGACCTTGTCTGAGGTCAATTTTCTGGGAAGCTTAAGTGTAACAAAGAGTTCTAAGGCCTACCTAGGAATTCTGCCTAAGCTCCTAATATGACCAAGTACTAACCACCCGATGCTATAAGGCCACCCGTGGATGTAAGGGGCTTCTTTTCTAATTTTTCCCTCTCTTACATAGAAAACATAAAAGACCTGGTCCCTGGAAACAGAAGGCTTCTATTTCCTAACTACTTTTTTCTAGAAGTTAGAACAATGAAGTTGGCTAACTGAGATTTCCTTTTTTTCCCCCTTGTTTCTTTACAACAGAATCTGCTTAGGCTTTTTCCCTCACAGTTCCAAATTTGAACCTAAACGCTGAATTCTCTCTTCTTGAAGTCTCCAAAACATTGTGCATGTATGCCTGTGCCTGTATGTCTGTGCTTTGCAGCATCAGGCATTACCTCAGCTAGCACTGAAAGATTTCTACATCTATTAAAGACTTAAAAGAAGCGTAGGGCCCGGTGAGGTGGCCTAGCGGCTAAAGTCCTCGCCTTGAACATGCTGGCATCACATATAAGAGCCAGTTCTATTCCTGGCAGCCCCGCTTCCCATCCAGCTCCTTGCTTGTGGTCTGGAAAGCAGTCAAAAATGACCCAAAGCCCTGGGACCCTGCACCCACATGGAAGACGCAGAAAAACTCCAGGCTCCTGGCTTCAGATGGGCACAGCTCTGCCCGCTGCGGTCACTTGGGGAATGAATCATCGGACAGAAGATCTTCCTCTCTCTTTCCTCCTCTCAATATATCTAACGTTGTAATAAAAAATAAATAAATCTTAAAAAAAAAAAAGAGTACCTTCAAGTACTGCCCCTTAGTTAAGGGCAAGTACTCTTCTGTTCCATCACCTACATTTGCAACTTTACTAAAGTGGTAAATAAGTAACTTAAGGTGCCAGGACCTTAAAATACTGAGACTTACGAAATATGGGAACACTTGTAAGATACTCACCAAGATCATTCAAATCTTATTTTAAATCTTACCACATTCAGGTTAGGAGAAATTCCACTTCTGATTGCACTGCTAGAATGCACAGGTGGAGTGGTAGAAGGTCCCAAGAGATCTTGCTTTCTCACTAACTGATTTTCATTTAGTTCTTTATTTAACCATGTGATCACTTAAACAAAAGAGAAATAAAAGATTTCATTTACTATTTGTATTTTCCTGGTTATTTTAAGCACTTAAAAGATACATTCATAGTTATAAAATTCTGAGCATTTGTAGCTACTTCATATCCCAGGAGAATAACCAAAAAAAAAAAAAAAAAAAAAGATTTTGTTTGTCACCTACAAGACTATCATTTCTGCAACTGCCACACAGTTCTGTTATTCCCAAAAGTACTTATTTCTGCTAGTTAAGCATCTCTTTACCTTCAGATACCTTACAGTTAGTATAAAGTCAGCTAAAGTTCAATTTTTTATTTTAGTTTCAAGTAACTCACAATACTAATTTTACGTAGTTTTTTTTTTAAACATAGTATTTAATCAGAAAATTAAGTCAATATTTTCAACACTTTTAACTTTGGGATATTGATAATTTTCTTTATAATGATAAGTGTTCCAAAGGGTAGATGATATAACTTACTTCAGTAGACATTAAAAACAAATTTAAAGCAGAAATTTGTATACAGCAATATCTCAATCTACCTACATCTTTATAAACTGAAAATAAACACTGTAGAACACCTTTATTTTCATCTACTTGAAATGTAGAGCAACTCAGGGGTGGAGAGACAGAGAAAGGAGCTCTTCCATCTAACGGTCACACCCCAAGTCCTCTGAACAACTATGGCTGGAGCACGCTGAAGCTAGGACCCTGGCACCGTACCCAGGACTTCTACAGGGGTGGCAGGAGCCCACACACTGCAGCCATCACCTGCTGTCTCCCAGAAGCATTAGCAGGAAATGGGATCAGAGGCAGAGTCGCTGTGACCTGAACCAGCACTCCCTTGCGGGGTGGGAATCCCAGGTAGCAGCTTAACCTTCTGCACACTGCCAATCTCCAAAATTGTTAGTTTAAGAATAAAACCACCAATTTTATTTACATAAAATACAGGGTAGGCATTTGGCTAATTAACTACACGCCAATTAGGGAAATTCACATATAATATTAGAGTGCCTGGATTTGAGTACCAGTTCCATTCTTTATTACAGCATCTTGTTAACGTGCAAGCATTAGAACGTTACATCTGCATGGGAGAACTGAAATGAGTTCCTGCCTTCCAGCTTAGGAATGGCCAACCCTCAGCTGTTTCAGGCAATCAGGGAATGATCCAGTAAATAGTACATCTATTTTTTTTTCCTGTCTTTGTCCCTCTGTCTCTCAATAAAATTGTAAAATGTAACATACTTACACTTTTCATTATTTTTTAGAAGCTGTTTACTTTCTTCAAGTTTTTGAACTGTAGTTTCTAATTGTTCTTGCAATTTGCATACCTGAAATATGTCAATCCTCTCAGTAAATCAAACAAAGTAAAGGTTAAAATAAAAAGAGCAAGTAAACTACTGTTTATTACCATAAAATATTACTAAATGAGAATACAGAACTTAGCTCAACTATGTAATTTGTATGTACACACACATATCTATAAATACTGTGTATAAACATATATATGGACAACAATATCTAATTCATCACTTTTCAAATGGAAGTAGCCTAACTTTTGTTGAATCTAGTTGTGATTATAAAGAAAATATTAAAAAGCCACAGCTTGCTCTAACCAGAACTTTTTAAAAAGACACACCTGAGAAAAATACGTTACAGTTCGCAAACAGAAAATTCAAAAAACATAAAATACTAACTACCTCTTGTTCTTTAACTCGGAGAGACTGTCCAACATCTTGTAATTCTTTATGCTCCTTTTGTAATTTTTCTTCCTTCTCAGCCAAGAGTTTCTCTTGCTGAATAGTAACTGTATTCTTCAGCTTCAATTTACCCATTAGTGTTTTTAAATCCCCTTGTAACTTCTTGATTATCTCGTTTGCCTGTAAGAGATTCACATGTATATCTCCACATAACTTAAAAAAATTAATATTTAAAATTTTTAAACATTAAATTTAATGTTTAAAACAAACCTTAAGAAGTTCTGCTGATAATGATTTTATTGTGGCTTCAAGTTTTCCCAGCTGTACCTGATTTTTCTCGCCATTTTCTTCTAAAGCCACCTGATTTATTTGTTAAGAAATATGAAAAATAATTAAGACATGTGTTTGGAAAAAAATGACACCTGTTAAGTGTGGCCAATGATTTGTCTAGGAAAATTTAAAAATAGACCTTTTGTTCCTGGATTGTATCAAATGCTTCTTTTGTTCTTAAAACAAGCTGGTCTTTGTCCTTGATTTCCTGTTCTAGAACTGCCACTTTGGTTTGTAGCTGATTAATATGCTTTTCTTTCTCATGGCATTCAGAATCTAGTGTAGAATTCTCTCTTCTCAAAGACAGAACTTCTTGCTTAGTCCGCTGCAGCTCCTACAGGTAGTAAAAAAAAAGAAAAAGCTTTATTTTGTATTATGAAAAAGTGAAGTTGGTCTGGTTACTTCTAAATAATATGCTTAAAGATGTCTTTAACAATTTTAAGTTTCTAATTCAGACTGTTCCCCCTGTGGGAGACCCAGAAGTAAGCTCCTGGCTTCAGATCAGCTCAGTTCCAGCTGTTGTAGCCATCTGGGGACTGAATCAGCAGATGGAAGATCATTGTCTCTGTCTCTACTTCTCTCTGGAAATCTTTCCAACAACAATCAATAAAACTGGCTGAGCCCACCAATCCTCACATCACACAGCCTAGGTTTGACTTCTGGTTCCAGCTCCTAAACCCAGCTTCCTGCTACGCAGCCACAGATGGAAGCAGGGGCGGCTGAAGTAATGGGATTCCTGACAAGCAAGCAGGAGGCCTGGACTGAGTTCCCAGCAGTCAGCCTGACTCAGCCCACACTGCTCACTGTGGGCATCTGGGAAGTGAACTAGCAGACAGGGTGTGTGCATTCTCATTCTCTCTTCCCCCTCTGGGTGGTAAATGTTAAAAAATCAACATATATATACAGAATTTGAAAAGATCTAGATTTCTTCCCACTCAAATAACAACAAGCCCAAATATTACATGGACATAAAAGTTCAGTATTCAGTAATCATAGATTTAAACACAATTTTAGACAATAATGTTACATATTATACCATGGTGATTTTGAGAGGTAAAGACTTTGATATCAGATATACTTGAATTCATACCCTGGATCAACTACTGTGTGATCTTGGAAATTACCTAACCTCACTAAATCTTGATTCTCTTATCTGTGGAAAAGAAATAACAAATACTTGACAAATTATGTAATTTAACTGCCTGAAAATTTATTTAAATTGCCTGTTACACTGGCTGAAAAGGAGTAGACAATAAACAATAGCAATTATGTTTAGAGCAGTAATAATCTTACAAATCACAACTGAACAAAATAAGTAACTGAATACTCAGAAGCAAAAGAAAAATTTCCCAGGATTCATAATTTGTAACGTTTTCTGCAGATATTGAGAGAAATACTTGGACTAGATTACATAAAAATTAGCATAGTGAGGGTTTCTTACACAATCACCAGTCTCAGTGCTGACACAGATGAAATAATATAGCATTGCATAAATGCAGCAGTTGACTACGGGTGAGTATGCCGGACACCTGAGAAGTTTTTTATAAGTGGTGTGAAAGATGAAGATTCAAGAAGGAAAACTGAAGACATCGATTGAGGCACAGTGCTATGAGGATCTAAATATAAAATTGACAAGATTTTATAACTTCTAGGCAAAATATATTAGTGAAATGGAATTGGAAGTCTTATGGTGATCTTTGTATTACAAAGTGACAGACATGGGGCGGGCACTGTGGCACAGTGCATAAAACGCATTTTTACGCTGGGGACAGCGGGACGGGAAGAAGGAGGGAGGCCAATACCTCTTCAATACCAGAAAGTTTTGCTTTCAGTTCTCTAACAGTGGAGTCTCCTTTATATTTCCTTTCTGTTAGGTCTTTATTAGTTGCTTCTAATTCAGATAGTCTGTTTTGTAGTTGTTGGATATTTCGTTGATGGAGGATTTCCAAATCCTTTTTCTGTTGTTCATGCTGTTGTTGACACTGGACCTGTGCCTGTTATGTAAAAATACAGTATCAACAAAAGTCAGACATATAAACACAAATCACACTCATAGTTTTTTTTTAAGATTTATTTTATCACAAAGTCAGATATACAGAGAGGAGGAGAGACAGAGAGGAAGATGTTCCGTTCAATGATTCACTCCCCCAGTGACTGCAATGGCTGGCGCTGTGTTGATCTGAAGCCAGGAGCCAGGAACTTCTTCTGGGTCTCCCACACGGATGTAGGGTCCTAAGGCTTTGGGCCATCCTCGACTGCTTTCCCAAGCCAAAAGCAGGGAGCTGGATGGGAAGTGGAGCTGCCAGGATTAGAAGCAGTGCCCAGGTGAGATCCTGGCGCATTCAAGGCAAGGACTTTAGCCACTAGGACACTGCACCGGGCCCAACAATCATAATTTTTCCCAGAAATATTAGACTTTCTTGTTTTCAAAGCAGTGTGTTCTTTTTTTGTTTTGTTTTGTTTTTTTCTGATTACAGATTTCATGAAGGAGAAGGAAGGGTGAAGAATGGTTGTGTTCATAATTCGGCTTATCCTAAACCCACAAATGTATAGAAGTAATAGTGTTCAACGATAAGGGAAGAATAAAATACAACTACATTAAATAAAAGCAAACCGCAGGGGCCTGCTTTGTGGTGCCACAGTTTGGACTGCCACCTCTAATGTCGGCATCCCATATGGGCACCAGCTAAAGAACTGGCTACTGCAATTCCAATCCAGCTACCTGCTATGCCTATGCTAGAGAAGATAATGAAATGCTAAGGTAAAAACTAGTCTTAGAGATTTCACTAACGAATAATCCACTAAGTGTCTCCTGAAGACCGACTACATTTCCAGCTAAAGGGAACACCAGACAGACCCACACTCTGCCTCCGGAACGCTCACCAACCAAAACAGAGTAGGCCAACCACTGATTCCGAATCACTGTGAATCTTCATTCCGTCTTCCAAGGCGCACACAAATACTGATTCCCTCAGGAAGGGCAAAGAAAACCTTACCTGTGCTTTTTAATTCTCCGAAGGGATACTTTGTATCTGTACTGTGACAAGACCTAGACTTTGCTACAACTGGCTTCTGCTACTTGCTAGTACCTCAGGTATTCCACTCTCACTTGCAGTCCTGCACAATATCCTTCCTGCAGTTTTGTCTATTCAGTTTCTCTGACAGCTTTCTGCTTCCCTTCCTGGTTGTCTTTCATTCCCGTCCTCTCCACAAGCCCACTCCCCTGGACTTCCCCAGCTCTGGATTTCCAGCTTGATTCACTAGGATAACTGAGCTTAGAGCATTCTTAGGAGACAAGTCTTCAGTGAGTATAAGCCAGCGGCATTTCCCTGAACTCTGTTGAAAATCTTAGATCTTTGCAACACCACCATCCCTCCTGAATACATTTTAGAACCATGATCTCCCAAAAGACAAGGGTTTCTCAAGAACTCACATTTTAAAAGCTGTACTTAAAAGCTGATAAATAAGGGAATACACAATTCAGCAAATGATGATTGCACTGTATTACCAATTCTGAGCATGACAAATATTGGATTCTGCAAAATCACCAATAAAATTATTTGAGATTTCAATACACACAGGCCTAGATCAAAAAACACAATTTCTGGTTCCTTGATTTGAAATTGAGATTTATGGGGACCTGCATGATCGTACAGCAGGTGAAGCTACCACACACAATGTCAGCATGCTATATGGGTGCTGGTCTGTGTCCCAGCTGTTCCGCTCTGGATCCAGCCCCCTACTAATAGCTTGGGAAAAGCAATGGAAATAACTCGTGTTTGGGTCCTTGCTACAAACACAGAGACTCAGATGAAGTTCCTGGCTTATGGAAATGAATGGACAGATGGAGAATGTATTCCTCTCTGGCTATTACACTTTCATCGAACTCCTTGCTAATGGCCTGAAAAAGTAACAAAGGATAGCCCAAGGCCTTGGGTCCTTGCCCCTACACCAGAGATCCAGACACAGCTCTTGGCTGCCCACTTGACTGGCCCAGCTCTGGCCCTTGCAGACATTTACAGAGTGAACCAGCAGATGAAGATTTCTGTCTCTCCCTCTTCATAACTCTGACATGAAAATTAAATCTTTACATACGTGTGATAGTTATAAATATTTGTAATCAAAATTTATGGAACAGATAAAGTATGAAACTTGAAGCAAACCTAGGAAAGTTTATTCACTTATATCTGTTAGCTTATATGCTCTTAATTACACACTCTTATTTAACTATATACTCTTATTAAAGAAGCAAACTATTTCCGTATCTTGCAAGTCAGATACTATTAAGCATCTATACCAAATAAAAAGTGTGACAAGAAGGAATAAAAGACCCACCTTTCATTCTTTCACTGGTTCAGTATTTTCATAGTAACAAAAAAATTTCACAGCCATTAAAAAATACTAATATTGATTCTGAAAGCTAACAGTATTCTGAGGAGACAGAAACATCTAATGTGACCTCTGCAAATAACGTGCAATTCCTTACTGTCCTTTAGAGGACATTTCCAGCATATGCCTAGTCAACAACTGCCTGCGTCGCCGCAGGAACTTTAAATGTTTTTGCTAATGAGAGATAAACCTTCCATTTTTATTATCTAAACTTCTATAATGTTTGAAACATTGAGGCAAACATACATTACTTTATAGTTAATAAAGGGCCAACAGCAGTCATTTCTCCTGCTTCTTTCAATGCCCTTACCTGCAGAGCTTTCTCCTTCTCATTTGTGAGTTCCTGAGAATGCTTACTTGTCAACGCTGCTGTGTGCGATGCCCACTCACTCCGAAGCTTATCTAATTCTTGGATTTTTTCTGATAATGTCTGCATTAGAGTTCAGAATAAAATGTTAAGTCAACCAAGTATGTGACACATCTGTCACACATCTGATTACAATAATATTTACCAGAACAGTAAAGAAAATAAAGGTATAGCTTTCCAAGACATACTCAAAATTCTTTGATACAGATTTCTTATTTGAGGAAATCAAGACCCCCAAAAAAGCAATTTTAGAGTTAAAACTGCTCAGAGGAAAAATTTAAGTTTTTAATTAAATTTGGCTCTTGCCACTCAATCCTCGCTCTGACATTGAGATGTAAAGTAACCCAGCGTTCACTAAGTCGGTCATCAGGAGTGGTTCACTTACATGTGAAGCCTAGGACTAGGAACGGATATTCTGATCCTCAATTTGAAAGATCAGACACAAAAATCTAGTAGTTATACCTAAAATAATACTAACTCCATCAGAGGAATTAATGCTAATATCAACAGATGGAATAAACAGGAAAGTTTACAAGAACTGAAAAAACTACTCTAGGCCAAAGGAATAATGTAAACAGAAGTGGGCAACTGGCCTAGAGGTTAGACGCCAATATTTCCCAGCCAGTTCCATGTGCACACCACTTACAGTTTCCAGCTTCCAGTCAATGCAGACCCAGGAGGCAGTGGTGAACGGTCAAGTAACCGGGTCCCTGTCCACCCACATGGGCAATGGGCTGAGTGCCTGGCTTCCACATTTAGCCCCAGTCCAGGACTTTGGTACGAGAACCAGAAGATAGCAGTTCTCCGTTTAATAAGTAAAAGTGAATTAATTTGTGATGCACACAATTCACATGATCCTATTGAGACGATGCACTATATATAGGGTAAGACAGAAACGGCTTTAGCAGGCGGGACCTCCGCCTGCAGTTCCCACATCCCACACTGCGGTCAGTTCAGCTACTAACTCAAGGCTTTGGGTCAGCCCGCCTCCGGGTCAGACCACCCCAGGACACTGCAACCATTTCAGGAATGGACTAGCAAATGCAGATCTGTCTCTCCTTCTCGCTCTGATTCTGCTTTCAAAAAGTAAATAAAAAATAAATCTTAAAAACAAAGAAATGTTTGGGTTGAACACTGTAGGTAAAAGAGAAAGCAACAGATTAACACAATAAGGAGAATAAAGAACAATTCGATAATAGCAAGTTCTGAAACAAAATATATGAAAACTTGTAGTTGATTCAAGAATCAATTCCGAAAGACACCTGGATAATTTACAAATGTAAAGCAAAATTTGGATTACCTTTTGTGTCAAGTTCAGTTGCCTAGTAACATCATCTAGTGATTGCGTCAATGATATTTTCTCTTCCTGTTTATAAAAATAACGAAATTATGCAGTTTACATTTTAATTTAGTCATCTATAACCATGCTACCCAAAGAGTCACAAAGTATTACATCAGCATCATCCTGGGAATGTGTCAGAAATGCAGAATCTTGGGCTCCATTTCAGGGTTTCTACATGTGAACCCCCAAACAATGGGGGTGATCACTGAAGGCTGCGATGTCCTTGCATCAGCATTTCATAATTCTCAGCCCCATATCATTTCCTTATGTCAGCTTCCTGACAAGACATTAGGGATTTCCAAAAACCTTTCACACATTTCATCTTTGATAGACTAAACAGGGTAGATATTTTCATATATCATGGTTTCATCAGCTGATAGATAAAGAATTCAGATGGCCTGCACTAAATCGCAGATAATAGTAAAAACCTGGGACCTAAGTTTCTGAATCTCAGGTCCTACGCTATACTGATGCCTCTACTAAACGATCAACTAAATAAAATTATTCAATTATAGGTTATCAAAAACTTTCTGGGGGCCTGGCGCAGAGGCCTAGTGGCTAAAGTCCTTGCCTTGAACACACCGGGATCCCATGCAGGCACCAGCTCTAATCCTGGCAGCTCCACTTCCCATCCAGCTTCCTGCTTGTGGCCTGGGAAAGCAGTCGAGGACGGCCCAAAGCTTTGGGACCCTGCACCCACGTGGGAGACCTGGAGGAAGTTCCTGGTTCCTGGCTTTTGATCGAAGCATCATTGGCCACTGCCATCACTTGGGGAGTGAATCATCGGATGGAAAATTTTCCTCTCTGGCTCTCCTCCTCTCTGTATACATGACTTTGCAATAAAAATAAATAAATATTAAAAAAAAAAAAAAGAAACTTCCTGTGGCAGTCCTTCACGTATCCTCCTCTCAGTGCCAGCTCAATTCCTGGCTTTTCCTCTTCTGATTTAGCTTCCTGGTAATGCAGATCCCTGGTTTCTGCCTAGACCACACCTGGCTATTGCTAGGATTTGGGGAGGGAACTAACAGACAAAAGACTTTTCTCCTTTTCTCTCTCACTTAGTCTTTCAAGATGAAAATTAAATCAAACATTAAAAAGGGTTCAGTGCCATGGTACAGTAGACTAAGCTTCCATCTGCAGTGCCAGCATCCATATGGTGCTAATTCTAGTCCCAGCTGCTCCAATGTTTTTTTAAAGATTTATTTATTTTTATTGAAAAGGCAGATTTACAGAGAAGGAGATACAGAGGAAAAGACCCCCCATCTGCGGACTCATCACCCAAGTGGTCACAACAGCCATAGCTAACTAAGCTGATCCAAAGCCAAAAGTCAAGTCTCTTCTGGGTCTCCCACACAGACACAGAGGCCCAAGGCCCTGGGCCATTCTCTACTGCTTCCCAAGCCACAAGCAGGGAGCTGGATGGGAAGTAGAGCAGCTAGGAGGACATGAACTAGAGGCCATATGGGATCCCAGCAGACTCAAGGCAAGGATTTTGCCACCAAGCCACCGCGCCGGGCCCTTCTCCACTTCTGATCCAGCTCATTGCCTATGGCATGAGAAGTCAGTGGAGGATGGCTCAAGTCCTTGTGGGAAACTCAAAAGAAGCTCCACTCTCCTGGCCAGGATAGGCTCAATGCCGGCCTGTGTGGCCAATTAGGGGGTGGACCAGGGGATGAACAATCGCTTTCACTCTGACTCTCCCACTCTTTCTGCAAATCCATCTTATAAACAAAATAAAATAAATCTTAAGGAAAAAAAAAAAACCCAAAACATTAAAATAAACGAAGGGGCCAGCGCTGCCACTACCTGCAATGCTGGCATACCTTATGAGCACCCGTTCCCATACTAGTTGCTTCACTTCTAATCCGACTCCCTGCTAATGGCTTGGGAAAAGCAGTGGAAGATGGCCAAAGGTCATGGACACCTGTACCAACTTGGGAGACCCAGATGAGGCCGTTGGCTTCACCTTGGCCTTGTCCTGACCCTTGTGGCCATCTGAGGAGTGAAACAGCAGGTGGAAGATTTCCTTCCCTTTCTGTAACTCTGCCTTGCAAATAAACAAACAAATATTAAAAAGTAAAATAAATTTTAAAGAAATCCTTGGAGCTTTTAAAAAAATTTTACAACAACTTTACTCAGAAAAAAAAATAATGGTAATATAGGTCTACAATGATTTATCGAAGATCTCTGGAACTTAGTTTAAATAAGTAACTTAAATTTAAATCTTACCTTGCTATACTTTAAACAGCCTGCTAGAAATTTCTTTATTTCCACATCATTTCCAGGTAAAAGTTTTAGTGAGAGGTGTGTAAGATGTTTAAAAGGATTTGTTTCTACCACATTTAAAAATACAGGTGAGTTATCCAGAATAGCTGCTGGAGAAACCAATTGTAGCAAAAACCTTTAAAACAGAAAACGTCACATTTTAACTTGTCAGTAGAAATTTTCCCACTGAATGTTAAGCTCCTCTACACAGAAAGAGAAGGAATGAGAATATACTAAAAGCAGGCACCAATATGAAACGGTTTTCAAGGTACAAGCGGAAAAGGGCAAACAAACAAAAGGAAAACAAAGCAGAGGGACCAAATAGAGTGACTACTTAAAGGCCCATGAGTTTATAATGAGACGCAGGTAACAAAAAGAAAAAACAAAGCTTGAAGCTAGCGCCATGGCATAGGACATTAAGCCTTCATCTGTGGCACCAGCATCCCATGTAGGTGCCAGTTCAAGTCCCAGCTGCTCGACTACTGATCCAGTTCCTTGCTATGGCCTGGGAAAGCAGAGGAGGAAGACTCAAGTCCTTGGGCCCCTGCACCCACGTTGGAGACCCAGAAGTGACTGGCTCCTGGCTTCAGACCAGCTCAGCAATGACTGATGCAGCCACTTTGGGAGTGAACCAGCAGACGGAAGATCTTTCTTTCTGTCCTCCTCTCTCTGTAACTCTGCTTTTCAAATAAATGAGTAAATTTTTTAAGAAATTAATTGAAAGCCACTGGGCACAGTAGTTTGAATTACTGTTTGGATTCCCAGGTTCCATATCAGAGTGCATGGTCTAAGTTCTGGCTCTCCACTTCCAATTCAGCTTCCTGCTGGTACTTTTTCCTCCGAAGCAGTGGATGATGGCTACAATGCTTGGGTTCCTTGCCACCCATGTGAGAGATGCACATGAAGCTCCAGGATCCTGGCTTCCACCTGGGCCAGCCCAGGGTTTTCTGGCCACTCAGGGACTGAACTAGCAAATCAAAGATCTCACTCTTTGTCTTTCCTCTCACTATGATTTGGTCTTTTAAATACAACATATAAATAAACCTTTTTTTTTTTTTAAGATTTATTTTTATTATTTTTTTATTGGAAAGGCGGATATACAGAGAGGAGAGACAGAGAGGAAGATCTTCCGTCCGATGATTCACTCCCCAAGTGAGCGCAACGGGTCGATACTATGCCGATCCGAAGCCAGGAGCCTCTTCCGGGTCTCCCACACGGGTGCAGGGTCCCAAAGCCCTGGGCCGTCCTCTGCTGCTTTCCCGGACAACAGGCAGGGAGCTGGAAGGGAAGCGGGGCTGCCGGGATAGAACTGGCGCCCATATGGGATCCCGGGCCTTAACCACTTGCGCCACCGCGCCGGGCCCAACAAATAAACCTTTAAACGAAAACTTCTTTAAATGTAATGCTTTGATGGGACTTACCTTGGAATTTCCTTGGCATGTTCCTGCATACACTGCTGAAGCAGATCTATAAATTTTTGTGGGAAAGCTAAGAAGTCCACCAGAAGCCCTTGCTGGAATTTTAAACTACATGAAAGAGGAAAAAAGAGTAAACAGTTAATTATTACAATTAAATTGTCATCCTAATTAACATTCTGAAAGATTCACTTACTATACACTCATTGCAGTCAAAAACATAATTCTTTTTAAAGTAAATTCAGTTTTATTATTTCAAAAGCACTTACTCATTTCCCTTTTATTTAAAAAGCAGACACATCTTCCACCCAATTACAACCATAACAGGGCCAGGTTGAAGGCAAGAGGCTAAAACTCAATCCAGGTCTCCCATATGTGCGGCAGGGACCCAAGTACTTCTAGCCAACATTGCTGCCTCCCAGATTCTGCCTTACCAAGAAATTTAAGTGAAGTGAAGAAGTCGGGGCTCAAACAAGGCATTCTCTCCTGGAATGTGGGATTCTAAGTGGTGACTTAACTGCCTGTGCAAGATGCCTGCCCCTACTGCAAAACCCCTTGGTTCATGTAGAAGACAGGGCTGGAAACAGAACTGACCAGCAACTGCAACCACCAGCATATGCATAAACTGACTGAGGCGACAGACTGTGCCGGAACCTGTACCGGCAAGCACACCCAAGAACCAGGTCTGAGGTCACCTCAGACAAAGTTTCTTTGGGGATACCCCCCAGTTGAACTGCTGAACTCAGAACCCCAACCATTAAGAGAAGTGCAAGTTCCGCAGTCTGACCACGGAGTCCATGTGTCAAAGCTGAGCATCCTTAGTGGCTCAGACGGAGCAGTGGATAGCATATCCAGATACATGTGGACCATATGGAAGTCCACTGGAGGATGCAGAGGACACCTGGTACCACCACAGAGGATGAAGGACAGAACAAATCAATCAATACCCCAGCCACATGTTGGCAGTGAAAAGCTGGGCAAATGGAGACTCTAAGGTGGACTACGTCAGCCAGTAGATTCTGGAGAGATTTCACTGTGCTTGGCATAGCAAGACTGGCAGGAATTCAGAACTGCTGAACTAACAAAACCACTTGAGCAGCGTCCTCGGATCATGCTCCACATCGAGGACCCTGGGATGGTTGGGAGGCTGGGTAGGGCTTCTCCCTTTATCTCCCCCATTCCCCGAAATACAGGGGGAAAAAGGTGAAAAAAAAATGCCTGCCCCTGATGTTTAATTCATTTTTATCTATTTGAAAGGTAGACAGACAGAATCAAATACTGAGTTCCCATCGGCTGCTTAACTTCCCAGTGTTTATAACTGGCCAAAGCCAGGAGCCAAGAACTCAACCCAGGCCTCTCTCACAGATGGCAGGAACCCAACTGCTTAATACAACTGCCTCCCTGGTCTTTTTAAGCAGAAAGCTGGAATTAGGATTCACATTCACCTCCCCAATATGGGATATGAGTGTCCTAACAGACAGCACCTCTACTACGTTAAATGTTTAACTAGGGAACCTCTCTGTAGGACTCACTGGGAGGAAAAAGTTCAGTAAACTTAGCTAAAGTTGCAAATTTCTAGGCTGTTTTGAAAACTCTCAATCTACTTTAAAATATCCTAAATAATTACAGTACAAATAGTCTAGTATTCCCCAAGATAACTAAACGAATCTAGTAGGTATGTGTTTCAAAGAGTAGAGTATCAACAATACATTTAAAAATTTTATAAATTGCTTCCTAAATTAAACATGAGAACATTAAGAAAAGCTAGTTACCTTTGAAAATCTTCCTCAGATATAACAAGGTTATACAGAAAAAACGGATCCGTGTCATCAGTCAGGCGGATAACTAAATCCTAAAAAAAAAAAAAAAAAGATTTTTGCTTATTAATGCTTCAAATAAATATGGCTGGTGATGTCTTCCTTCTTGGAAGTAAAATACTCTCTCTAATATTACCAACTCAGAGAGCTCTGTTTTCTGTTGTTGCTGGTTTATTTTAACCAGTCTTAGACACCTACCATCTGACTGGGGCAGATCCTCTCTCCTGAGAGCCCAGTGTTGGGGAGCACTCTGCAAAAGCTAACAGTCAAAGAGCTGCAAGCTTAGGATCATGGTGCTCCCCATTAACTCTAAGCAAGTTTAGACCCAGGCCTTGCTGTTCTGTAGCACTGAACACACTACTCCAATTCCACTTTCAATATTTCTCAAAATAACTGGCTGTACACTTTAGAAATGATAACTATATAAGCAGAATTGACAGTGATCTGCCCTAGGAAAGGCAGGGGCTTTTGTTTCCCAGGCAGAGGACAGGGTATCAGATGACTGGTTGCTAGGGTTTCTTCCTAAACATCCATTTCTCTGCTTCAGGGGCTGCTGAGCCCCATCTGTTCTCAATTTCTAATGGATGGGCTTTCTTTCATCAAAGGCCGTTAAAATTATAGCATGACAGACTGTCACAGCAACCAAACTTGGCAAAAAAAAAAAAGTTACAGCAAGCTTATGTATGTTAGAGAACCCTGGGGCAGGGAAAACAGGGAAGCTCCACCAGACAACGGAAGGCTAATACAGAACTAAGCCTAAGGAAAAAAACTCCACTCCAGTTACTGGAGACCTGCTAAGGTCACAGAAAACCTGAACCACTTCAGAACACAGTCAGAAAATGAAGAGGTATATCAGGCATAGGATCAACACGTAAAAAGTAAAATATACACAATTTCTACCCTGCAAAATTATTCATCTGATTATTTGCCATGCCTCAGAATGATCTGTTCTGAGCAACTTCTGTAAGTTGTTTTTTTTTTTAAGGTTTATTTATTTTGGGGACCCGGCGGCATGGCCTGGTGGCTAAAGTCCTTGCCTTGAACGCCCGGGATCCCATTTGGGCGCCGATTCGTATCCCAGCAGCTCCACTTCCCTTCCAGCTCCCTGCTTGTGGCCTGGGAGAGCAGCTGAGGACAGCCCAAAGCTTTGGAACCCTGCACCTGCATGGGAGACCTAGAGGAGGTTCCTGGTTCCCGGCTTTGGATCGGCACAGCACTGGCCCTTGCGGCTCACTTGGAGAGTAAATCATTGGACGGAAGATCTTCCTCTCTGTATATCTGACTTTGTAATAAAAATAAATTAATCTTTGAAAAAAAAGATTTATTTATTTTTATTGGAAAGTCAGAGACACAGAGAGACAGAAAGGAAGATCTCCCATCCGTTGTTTCACTCTCCAAGCAGCTGCAACAGCCAAAGCTGCACCCATCCACAGCCAGGAGCCAGGAGCTTCTTCCAGGTCTCCCATGAGGGTGCAGGTTCTCAAGGCTTTGGGCCGTCCCCTAATGCTTTCCCAATCCACAAGCAGGGAGCTGGATGGGAAGTGGGGCTGCTAGGATTAGAACCAGTGTCTACACTGGATCCTGGCACATGCAAGGTGAGGACTTTAGCTACTAGACTACCACGTTGGGCCCAAGACTTCTTAAAATTCACCTTAAGATGCTATATGAAAAACTGAAGCTTTTACCAACACAATCAGATCACTGAATGTGTTTAGGCAATGCCATGAGACATATAAAACTGATACTATCTTTCTTAGCCCTCTCCTCTGTTTCAACAGTTCCGTTACTGACTGAGATTTGGGACTTACGCTCTAAATGCCTCCTCAAGGAAAAGACTCAGGAATACATATCTCCCTGCACTACTTACTCTGGTCTCACATTTACAACAGGAAATGCCATTTCTATGGAATTGCAATATATATTCCAACAATTTTTCAAGCCCACTAAGCAAACCTAAGACCATCACATGACTGTAAATTCCAACGGTATGTTTTAGAAATAAACAGTTGCAATTATTTTCCATTCTTATTTCAGTTGACTACATTCCCAAATGCAGTTCTTAGTTGACTATAAAGTGGCTCAAAGTTAAAAGAAGTGTGTAAAAAGGATCTCACTTTCCTAAACTAATAATGATTAGTGCCCCCAAATGGTCTTATTTCCATAAAAAAAATAAATACCAACCTTTCTGTGAACTGGATTGGAAACTGATTGTAGTTCAATACTCACTCTAACGCTGACTCTCCTGTGTGAAAAGACATTCCAGCTATCAGAAACATTCAGATGAAACGACTCACTGCAACTGTGTTCACCAACTCGAAAGAGCTTCCAGAACGTTTTCTAACTCATGAACACCCTTCTGGGAAGCATACCTTATTTGAAGTTTATGTTCTTGTTGTTTTACTAATAATTTTCAACCTAACAACAAATCTTTTTATACCTATGAAATGAGGATATTGTGAGAAGTAAATGAGTAAATGAGAAAAATATGACGTGCTTGGCAATAGGCTGGTATAGAAGTATGGCTTTATGGCACTGAGTCTAAAATAGCATCTATTACAGAAAGACAAACTATTGATTTAGTAACAATTTCACACTAAAAAAATCATTTGGAATGACTGAGTTAGTCTATGAGAGATTTTAGAGACATAAAATTAATTAGCTTCTGAGATCAGACAAGATCGGGCGCATTCAGGGTGGTATGGCCGTAGACAAATTAATTAGAATGTTCAGGATCAAACACAGTAAAAACACATTCCCTAATCCTTTTACACATACAAAACATTTTTTCAGATCCACAAACTAAACCTGCTCAATATGGTCTTTATGCAATGTTCTACAAAAGCACTGAGAACAAGTTTATTATTTTCTATCTTATCTCTAAGTAATTCTAAAACACAAGAGGGAGAAACTATAGCATTCCACAGTCTATGCTCCATTTTAAAGGATCCAGTGCCAGGGAAGGTATTTGGTATAGCAATGAAGACACTGCAGTGGGTATGATGAGGCTTGGGATGCCAGCCTCCCATACAGGAGCTTATGAAGTTTGCATCCTAACTCCACTTGAGATTCTAACTTCCTAAGAAAGTACATTCTGTGAGGGACAGATGATAGCTCAAGTACTTATGTCCCTCTCAGGCACAAGGGAGACCCACATGAAACAACACATCTGGGCTTATGTCTGGCCCAGGCAGCTGTGGCTACTGAGGATGGCATTTAGGTATGAAAGATTTCTCTCCTCTTTCTCAAATAAAAACTTAAATAAACTTTCAAAGTATCCAGTACAGAGGAATATTAAGCATACTAGTCAAATTGAGCAAGTGTTTTTCAGAAAATTAAACTTATGCAACAGTAGCTCTCAAACTGTTCTTAAATAATTTTCTATGATATATAGCAAAAATAAGTAAACTGACCAACAGATATTGTTCCATTTTAAGTATCCTTCTAAAGATTCACTTTAAACCTTTTCCAGTCTGCTTCTTATCTGACAGATAAAAAGCACAGACGCAGTAATTATTTACTGGTGAAAAATCTGGAAATAGCTGAACAAGGCTAGATTTAACCATCTGGATTTTTTTATGCTGATTTGCAATTTTATATGGGTTTAAATTGTCATGTCACTTAAGTTTCTTACTGAATATGACTGAACTCTAAATCTTAGTGCATACAACCAGTTAAAGATTATAAAATATTAAATATTATAAAGCATCATTCTATATCACAGATATGAAGAATTTTTAAATCATTTATTTGAAAGGCAGAGGGACAGACAGGAAAAGAGGACAGACACAGAGAGATCTCCATTCATCAGTTTATTCCCAAACGCCTCCCACTCCCAGACCTGGGAAAGGCCAAAGCCAAAAGACAGAACTCCACCTAATTCTGCCATGAGTGGGGCAGTGAGCCTCAAATCCTTGAGCCAATGTCTGCTGCCTGCCAGGGTGCATACTCACAAGAAGCTGAAACTGGAAGAGAGCCAGGACTCCAGCTTAATAACCTGTAGAAAAGTCAGAATCTCAGGAGCGGCGCTATCTGTGTAATAAATCTTATTCTCTCCATTGTAATGGTTAATTGGATGGGAGCAACAGAAAATACAAAGTGCTATTTCCAATCTCAGTAAATGTCACACTGGGAGCAATGCATAAATCTGCCCAATATCCTCCCTGTCACTTAAACCTAAGTATCTCAAACATCTGGCCTTAAAAAACCTGGATTGTAGCCCACCACTTCTACCCAGTAGCTGTGACCTAAACTCTTTTTTTTTTTTTAAAGATTTATTTTTATTATTTTTTTATTGGAAAGGCAGATATACAGAGAGGAGAGACAGAGAGGAAGATCTTCCGTCCGATGATTCACTCCCCAAGTGAGCGCAACGGCCGATGCTATGCCGGTCCGAAGCCAGGAGCCTCTTCCGGGTCTCCCACGCGGGTGCAGGGTCCCAAGGCCTTGGGCCGTCCTCTGCTGCCTTCCCGGGCCACAGGCAGGGAGCTGGAAGGGAAGCAGGGCTGCCGGGATAGAACCGGCGCCCATATGGGATCCCGGGCGTGCAAGGCGAGGACCTTAACCACTTGCGCCACCGCGCCGGGCCCCGACCTAAACTCTTGATTCAAACAAATGAAAACCATTGAAAGTCAGGTACTATACCAGTACTAGTGACAGAAGCAGAATAGCCTGTGTCCTTAAATTGAGATCAGATGAAGTGTGAATTCCTCTGAATCTGCTTTTGATCCTACTGACGGGTGTCAAAAGACAGAGGAACAGCAACTTTCTGAGTCACCTACGCTCCCGAGTACTTGCCTGGCACTTCATACTATCTCCTGACCTAACAATGATCTGCTTAGGTAAACTCTCTCTTACTGAGGAAGGACCTGAGTCTTACAGTTACAGACCTGTTTCAGGTCATAATACAGAGCCCAAAGTAGAACTCAGATCTCTCACACCACACCTCCTAATAAACGAACAGCAGCAGATTCAGTATAGGCTATTTGAAAGCCCTTATATGGAGGGAATTATGAGATATCTACAAAGAAAACCCTGAAAACCCAGGTTATCAAAACACGGCTTCAAAACTTTGCATTACTTTCCTCCAAACAGAGTACCCTGGTCATTGATATGGTCCTCAGCTGAACTTCCTTCTTGTGTGACTTCAGTATATTTACATTATATTACACAGGCACCATATTTTATTTTCAGTTGAAAGTCAGTGGATGCTTACTATGCCTTAAACACTGTCCTAAGCCCTTCACAGGTATTAAGTAACTTCATCCTCACAATACTCCTATGAGGTAGGTAGTATTATCATCATTAACTTAAAGATAAGGCAGAGTATTATGTAAATTACACAAATCAAATCAGTAAGTAGTAGAACCTGGACTTGACCCAGGTAATCTAGCTCCAGAGCCTTAATTCTTAACCTATGCCACCTTTATTATAGTGTGAGGTCCTTGAGGGCCAGGGTAATAATGCTGCTGCTATTAGGGGGCAGTGAAGGACCGTTTACATCCTCAGCACCTAGAACAGCTCCTGGCTCTTAGTATATTGTAGGCACCTGCAAATACCTGTTCACTGAACTACTGAGTCTCAGCTGCTTTTCCTAAAAGTCAGGGGTGAGCAAAGTATTTTGTAAAAGCCATGATAATAAATATTTTAGGCTTTGTAAGCCACTATGTATCTCACAGTTATTCACCTCTGCTCCTACTGAGAAAAACAGCCACCAACCATAAACAGGCCTGGCTGACTTGCAGTATTTACAGAGAAAAAACAGACCATTTGGTGCACAGGTTCCAGTGTGATGACCCAAGCCACAACTGAAAGAAATACAAAGATACTACTACTACACAAAGCTTGTAGAAAACTGAAATTAAAAGGTAAGTTTACTTTAATGCAGATGTTCTGGCATGCATGCATTTAAGGGGGCCTCACAAAGCCCACAGAAAATGTGTATTATGAAAGATCTTCACAATAAAATGCACAGAAATTATCTTTCAATTCTGTGTTTTCATGAATTTTAAGGACTCCTATATAAAAACAGTTCTTAAAAAAGGACAAGTTAAAGCATTGTGCTTTAATATTAACCTTGATCACAATGTAATAAAACGGAACAGCACCAAGAGATTCAACACTGCCATCAGAAACGAAGTTCACCTTTTTACTATGTAATTCTAGAACAGCGCTGCCTAACAGAAACAATACAAATACAAATGTGAGCCATGCATATGGTTTCAATTTTTCTAAAATCTGCATTAAAAATACTTTTACTGTGAAATTATTTGTAAAATCTATTATAACTCAATATACCCCAAACAGTGCCATCACGACACATTAACAACATAAAAAAATTGAACTTTTTGATATTTTTCATAGCAAACCTTCACAACCCAGGGCACAGCAGTTCGCATTAGGTCCACCACAAGTGTCCCATTACCAAACACAGGTGGCAAGCGGTTACCACCTGGACAGCACAGAATACCTGACTAAAACCACCTACAGATAGCTACAGGCAGGAACTGACTCGCATGCTCTGGGTGGGCCTGCCAAGTGGTTTTGGACCTAACTCTAAGCTATAAACAAACTACGCATTTCCAGAAATTCAGCAAATCAATACCATTTTTTTTAATGTGGCATTTCCACACCGTTTAATTTTTACTTCCATTTAAACACCTGATTCTCATTACAACCATATGGGTAAGCATATTAGCAGATTAATTTGACAAATGAAGATTTACTGTTCAGGGTAGCTGAGAGTCCACATATAGCGGCTGAACTCAAGGGGGAAAAGGTTTAAACCAACCCCCCACCCCAGTCAAATCTGCTTAAGCCCAAGCAGCACTGTCTTCCCAAAGCTGCACTCCTGCACCCAGCGGTGACATTGGCCTTGACGTCCGTCCACTGGACTGCAAAGTTCCTGAAGCAGACAACTTTTCCTCAGGACCCAGTAAGGCCCCAGCATTTCCTAAGTGAATGCATTACGATTAAGTTCCTAATTTTCTCAATGTTCGTGGTCTGCTGAAGTTCGTTTTTTCTTTCTTTCTTTTTTGTTGTTTTTGGTCACCAATGAGGTAACTAAAGTACACTAGCAAGACTGGTTTTTTGTTCTGTTTTGTTTTAGTTGCAGTTTAAAAATTCCCTGCAGAGCTACTGCGAAGGGAAACGGGGGAAGAAGGCTGGGAGATTGTCTGGGTCAGAGCGTTTACCTGTCAAAAGGGCGAGAAGGCCTGGAAGCCGGCGACCCTACTCAGAGCGGGGGGCACTGGATGGTCACTAGGCGTGAACCGCCTTCCCGCATCCCCGCGCCCTGTCCGAGCTCTCGGCGACAGCCCCCCGGGGCCGAGGGGGACCCCTGGGTCCCCGCCGAGCTCGCCCCCCGCGTCCCCCGAGACCCCCAGGCTCGGGCCGGCGCCCAGGGGCCCGCGCCGCCATCTTCCCCCCGGCCCGACCACAACCGCCGCCCGCGGCCACCGGCCGGCGCCGACCTCACCTCTCCTCGCAGTCTTTGCATTTCACCAACAACGGAACGAGTTGCTGAAACAGAACCTGGCTCATCTTGAACGGCTGTGTCCCGGCCGCTGTGCGGAGAAGCCCAAGCCCGGCCTTCCGTTCTAGCCCGAAAGGCGTACGGGTTCCGAACACGGTTTTGAGTTTGGCGCTCCGCGACGGCGGAGTAGGCGGGGAGAGAGAAGCAAGAGCCGGGGAGACGTAGAAGGTTTGGACCTCGTCGGCCACCATCAGTTTCTTCCGCTTCTGCGGAAGAGCGCGGCTTCGGAAGTTCCAGGCTTTTACCTCTGTGTGGGAACGTGAGACTGCCATGTTTGTTAAGGGCAAGGGACGCCCAGGAAGCGGACGGCTTTCCCCGCCCTCCCTGGATGCTCACCACCTGAATCGCATCCTGGATCATGGAGGCCTCTGCGCCCACCCCTCCCGCGACTGGCTTCCCAGCTGAAGGTCGATGCGGCTACTTTGTAGAAAAGAAGCAGCGCTTCTGCAGGATGGTGGCGGCCGCAGGGAGAAGGTTCTGTGGCGAACACGCCGGAGCCGCGGAGGTCTGGTATCGCCCGCCCCTGCCCAGGGTCTCGAACCTGCCGCGCTGGGACCGGCTTCTTTCCGCTGGGTCTGCGGCTCTCAGGAACGCGGTGCTGCCCTCCCTGCGGGCGGTGAGCGGTGTGTTCCCTTAGGAACGGGGCGCTCGCCCCAGCCCGGGGACCTCGATCCGCATTCGTGGCAGTGCTGGGTTTTACTTTTACGTTCCGCATCCCTCAGCCGTCCTAACGCGAACTGAGAGTTGGCGAAAAGCAGGGATTAGGGACCACGTCCTTTAATGCAGTTGAAAGAAACTTTCCTTAAAATATGTATTACCGTTTAAATCTTTAAAAAGCGCATTATAACTTCTAAAGTGGGAAAGGGGAAGGACGATGTAAATAAGAATTGTCCCTTAACAATTTTGTTTTTGATACTATTGTAATTCACCATCAGTATCTTAGTGTAGAAGATATTTGCATATGCATGATAAGAAAATAAAAATAGGAGCAGATGCTGAAGGAAAAAGAACATCTCGAAATTTGAACGAATAAACCAAAGAGACAATCGTCTGCATTTGCTTGATTGTCTTCCGCAAGAAGCTTGTGCCTCTAGGCAGTGTCCGGTTTAAATCAGATTAAGTCAGTTAGCTCCTCAAACAAGGACGTGTGCGGCTTATTGCAGGAAACACCCAGGGTTATGTTGATTGGTTTTGGAAAAACCAGCAAACGTCTGCTGGTGAAAGAATGAAATTTTCATTTGTAGCATTCTGTTCCACCACTGTTGCAAGCCCCCAGACAGCACCCTATGCGGCCGTCTGGAAGGTGCCTGCAGCCTGGGAGTGGTCGAACATGGGGGGAATCCTTACAAGCTGCTGACTGCTTCTGAAATGGAATGAGATCAGCTGGTCACACAAGGCCAAGTGGAAGCACTTTCCATGGCTGTGCCTCAGTGTTCAGTTGTGGCCATCCTAACTCCAGTTTATGACAGGATTAGGTGTGTCATTTAGCTGTTTTTTTTTTTTAAGATTTATTTTTATTATTTTTTTATTGGAAAGGCGGATATACAGAGAGGAGAGACAGAGAGGAAGATCTTCCGTCCGATGATTCACTCCCCAAGTGAGCGCAACGGCCGATGCTATGCCGGTCCGAAGCCAGGAACCTCTTCCGGGTCTCCCACGCGGGTGCAGGGTCCCAAGGCCTTGGGCCGTCCTTGACTGCCTTCCCGGGACACAGGCAGGGAGCTGGAAGGGAAGCAGGGCTGCCGGGATAGAACCGGCGCCCATATGGGATCCCGGGCGTACAAGGTGAGGACCTTAACCACTTGCGCCACTGCGCCGGGCCCTGTTTTGTTGTTTTTTAACATATTCAGTATGATTTATAGATGGAGTTCTAAGAACAAAATGATATGGAATATGTCCCTCTCTGGTTCTCTGGTTGCCTTCTCTCTCTTTAGCTCTTTCAAATAAATCATTTCTTAAAAAAAATAATAAAAACAAGGCATTATGGAGCCTGGCACAGTGGTCTGGTTGCTAAAGTCCTTACCTTGCATGCGCTGAGCTCCCATATGGTTCATGTTTGGGCTGCTCCTCTTCCCTTCCAGCTCCCCTGCTCTTGGCCTGGGAAAGCAGTGAAGGACGGCCCAAAGCCTTGGGACCCTGCACTCACGTGGGAGACCTAGGAGAAGCCCCTGGCTCCTGGCTTCAGATCAGCTCATCTCCAGCCATTGAGGCCACTTAGGGAGTGAACCAACAGATGAAAGATCTCTCTGTCTCTCCTCTTTGTAAATCTGACTTTCCCAGTAAAAATAAATCTTTTTTAAAAATCAGTTAATTAAAAAAAAGACATTTTGGTTGTCACAGATACAGAATGTTATTGACATTTGATAAGTAAAGGGGTGAGAGGGCCCAGTGCAATAGCCTTGTAGCTAAGGTCCTCGCCTTACATGCACTGGGATCCCACATAGGCACCGATTCTAATCCCGGCAGCTACACTTCCCATCCAGATCCTTGCTTGTTGCCTGGGAAAGCAGTTGAGAACAGTCCACCCGCATGGGAGACCCAGAAATGGTTCCGGGTTCCTGGCTTCTGATCGGCTCAGCTCCAGCTGTTGCTGCTTGGAGAATGATTCAACGGATGGACGGTCTTCCTCTCTCTCTTCCTCTCTGTATATCTGACTTTCCAATAAAAATAAAATAAATCTTTAAAAAAAGGGACAAGAGATGCTGCTAAATCTTGTACATGATGCAGCCAATCCTCCATTCCCACCCGTAATAATTATTCAGTCACGATGTGAATAGTACCAAAGTGGAGACACTAGTTGGAACCCCAACCAGCTTTGCAGGTTCACTTCACAAATGTTTGTAACAGCAAGGGTTAAGCCGACTAAAGCCAAGAGCCAGGAACTCCTCCTCCTCTCTTACGTGTGCGGCAGGACCCTGTGTCCTTGGCCTTCATCTGCTCTCCCATTTGTGTTCACAGAAAAATGGATAGGAAACGGGAATAGCCGATACTGGAACCAGGTGCACTAATACAGGTTATGTATCAGCAACCTGATTGGCAGCTTAACCCACTATGCTGCATCACCCGCCCCCAAACAAATTTTAAAAGGATTTTTTTTTTTTTTGGTCTCTGTATGGTCATGCTTTGGGAGTCAGAATTGTCTGGCTAGATTTTAAAGTTAGGAAATAAGGGAGAAATAGTATCTTCAGAAGAATGTTGAACTTTCCTGTGAACTGCAGTGTGCATGGTTTCGTTGCCACAAAATAATCATGCCTATGGTAACTGATACTGTTTCAGAGCCAAAATAGCACTAATATAGGCCTTTTCCAACACATGTTTGAAGCCATGTGCGTTTTTTCCAAAGCGTTCTTTCTTCATATATACATAAGCCCCACATTTAAATCCTGTGATCTGGTTTTGCCTATTTTGGATTATGTCCTTTTAAAGGTTTATTATTTCAGCATGGGAATGCTAATACAGTGAAGGTGTGTGTAGTATCTGTAATTGATAATTTTATTTAAATAAACATTCTGGAGCCAGTGCTGTGGCATAGCAGGTGTATGGGCATCGTGTGAGTCCCAGCTGCTCCGCTTCCTATCCAGTAATGTGCATGGGAAAAAGCAGCAGACGATGGCCTCGTCCGTGGGCCCTGCACCTCCACGGGAGAACCAGAGGAAGCTCCCGGCTCAAGGAGTGAACCAGTGATATAAGACCTCTCTCTATAATTCTGCCTTTCAACAAAAATAAGTAAGTGTATTTGTTTTGATTTATTAGGAAGAAAATAGTCGGAAAAGAATCTTGTGTCCTTTAGACCCAAAACAGTAAGTATATATCATAGAGATGCTTTTATGTGCTAGAAACAGTAATTGTTAATCTAATTTTAAACAAATTTCTCTTTCAACTTAGTACAGTATACGAAGATCAACTAGCAAAGCATTTGAAAAAATGTAACTCAAGGGAGAAGCCAAAACCTGTAAGTGTCTTTCTGATTTGACAAGATTCTTAATTTAAGACATGAATTTGAGAAATGTGTTGACTCTACATAGGATATCAAACTTCCCAATTATAGACCTAATACAGTGGATAGAATGTTATGGAATTTGGGTGTTATTCAAATAATTTCATTTTTATTTTAAAAATATTTACTTAGTATGTACTAAATTTGCTTCAGTGAGATATGACGCCACCCTTCAAGGAACTGATTTGAGACTGGTGAATAAACTCATAGATAAGGTGTTTTGTTTAATAATTACAGTGAGTGATGGGCATAATGTACCAATATTATAGGACACTTGATTATTTGTGGGTTCTTTTGTTTTTAAGATTTATTTATTATTATTTTAAAGGAGAGATACACAGAGAAAGAGATCTTCTATCTGCTGATCAATTCCTCAAATGACTGTAAGGCTGGAACTGAGCCAGGCCAAAGCCAGGAGCCCAGGAGCCTAGGAGCCTGCAGCTTCTTGCCAGTCTCCCATGAAGTGCAGGGGCCCAAAGCCTTGGGCCATCCTCTGCTGCTTTCTCAGATGCGTTAGGGAGCAGCAGGCCGCGAACCAGCACCCTTCAGGGATGCTGGCCCCACAGATTTGTGTTTTTGAGTGCCTGGTTCAGCCCTTAGCTATTTCCCACTCATGCACACCCTAGGAGGTAGCAGGTGGTGATGACCCAGGCACTTTAGCCCCTACCATCCACAAGGGAGACCTTGGTGGAGTTCTCTACTCTTGGTTTCAGCCTGGCCTAACTTTAACTATTGCAGGCATTTGTCAAATCAGTCAGGGGGTGGAAGATTTCTCCTCATATCTTTCTCTCTGCCTTTCAAATAAAATGAAAATAAATGATTTTTAAAGAGCAGTTCTAAACATAATAATATTAATGTCCGCGAAAGAAGTAAGCACAGTGTGAGGAGAGCACATACTTGCATCAAAATGAAAATTCAGTCCAGGGCCCAGAAAGGCTTTCCAGACAGAATAACACGGTGGGTCTTGATATAGCAAAGCAAAGGGGGAAGGGTCATAGGCAGATAGGACAAAAGATGTAAAAACATGCAACTGAGAAACCACACGATGCTTTTAGAAACTGGGTTCTTAAAGACATGGGAAGCTACTGAAAGATTTTAATGTCAGGAATGGTGTGTTTTATATACCATTGCATTTTTGATGGGTAG